AAGCTTAATATTATGAGACAAAATGGGAATCATAGAAACTTTGAGATCTATAAGATGTCATCTGGTTCTAACCTACTTAAATGAAAAAGCTCATCTATAATATCACAAAGTAATGATGTAGCTGAGACACCTCATTTGAATATTAATTATTTTTTTTCCTATGTCGAGTTCATATCACAAACTCGAAAACTTCTTTGCTTTGATCATAGTGTTGTCCTCCAACAAAAAAGAACAGGTTAATCCCTCTTCTGTTTGATAATGTTTCAAATACTTTATGATGGGAATTTTGTTACATTAAATATTTTCCAGGCTAAGCATTTCTGGTATCTTAAACCAATTATTGCACAGCATACATACTAACGTCCATATTGTTTGCACTTCTATTATAGATTTCAATTTATCTGTGCACTTACAAAAGGGCAGGGCCAAGAAGAGTATAATACTAGATACCATTTGACAAGGATATAGATAGTGCGGTAGGACTGTTTCCTTCTTTGTTTTTAAAAGTTTGCTTTTTTCTGTTAAGATAACCTTAAACAAATGAATCAAACAAACTCTTTATGACTGTCATGACAAATTATTGACATATTTTATTTTAATTCATTTTTTCAACCGTCTAGTCATATCTTATCTTTTTTGTCCATGGATTACCCGAATGCAAGTGAAGGAATATAGTTCTCTGGAGATAAATATGATTATTCTAGATTGTCAAGGTCTTTTGGATCCTGACAATGCCAACCAAATTATTAGCTATCTATTCTATCTTCATGCCATCCATTTTTTTTTGCTTAGCATGCCAAATATATGTTCATCCAAGCCAATCACAAAAATGCTGAACTGAACAGTACCAAGGACAAAGCCTTGTGACACTCACTTAAAGACTTCTTTCCATCAACCCATTAATTACACCTCCCTGGGTGCAGTCATTTGAATAGTTTCAAACTTACTTAAATCTATATTTCTGTTCACATTTCTCTATATTTTTTGGGGAGGAGATAATGGAAAGTCATAATATGTTTGTTGAAATTTAGGTATTCTTTTTCTATCCTCTGATTTATCAGTCTTTTTCTTTCCAGAAAACACATGGATTAAACTAAATGAATACATTTTATCTCAGAGTAATTGTGGCTTCTCAAACCCCACTTTCTTTACAAGTCATACCTCTAATTAAAAAATAATTCCTGATTAGGTCACTTATTTAACATCTGTACTGTAGTCTTTTACATGATTGTCAGCTGGAGAAAGAGGCAGGTAGGTAGCTCAGTAGATAGAGGACTGGACCTGGAGTCAGGAAGGCATAAGTTCAAATCCAGCCTCAGACACTTAACAGCTATGGGACTTTGGGCAAATCACTTAACCTTTGTTTGCCTTAATCCACTGATGAAGTAAATAACAAACCACTTCGGTATCTTAGCTGAGAAAATCCCAAGGAGAGTATGGTCCATGTGGTCATGCAGAGTCAGATACTACTGAAAGAGAACAACAACAACAGTTGGAGAAGAGAGGAAAGTGCAGTATTTGGGATTTCTTTCCTTCCTTAGGCATTATTTCTATTTTCTATAAAGCTCAATCCAGTTAACTTATGTTGTCCCATTTTGAGTTCCTTAATTTTTAGAGGTGATTTATAAGATTTCAGATTTTATATTTATATATCTATAAATATGTATGCATATGTGTATATATGTAAGTGTATGTATATATATGGAAATAAACATTGCATTTATATTTATATACATACACACATATACATACATGTCAGGGAGAGTATGATAAAATTTAACTACTTGCAAACAAAAGTGACAGAGTAACATGTAAAGATGTATATACATATATTTATATGAATATAAATAATAACCATATATATACAAATATATTGTACATATGCATCCATGGATATGTATGTATGAATATGCATATTTTATATGAGGTATTTGTAAAAGATGCCCCAAAAAATCTTAGTGAAGATTTGTTTTAGTAGCTTTATCTCTGTCTCTCTCTCTGTCTATCTATCTGTGGGTCTCCCCCCACATAAACACATATATTTTTATTTCTACATACATACACACATGAGTATAGAATTATGAGTGTGTATGTTTATGTATACAGTGTATGCATGCATATATTCTTCAGTGTAGATGCATACATGTGTATATATGTACATAGATGCAAATATTTTATCCCCTCACCCAATTAGGCAAATTCTTCTTGAGAGCAGAAATTAGTCTTTCTGTTAATTAACAGTATTCTCAGAGTTTAGTACAGTGCCTGGTAAGCACTTAATAAACATTTATTGGATTGGCTATGTATAGATATACACATATACTTTATATACAGATATGTGCATATATTCATATGCACTACATATGCATGTATACCTTTGTGTACTTATCTGTCACTTTTAATATTCCAAAAACTTTGTATATTTTACTTTGGCCCTGAAAACAATCTTGTAATACAGGTTCATTTTATTTAAGATGAGGAAACTAAAACATAGGTTTACTTACTTGCCCATGGTAACACTACCAATTTTCAGGAGCATCTTTTTCCTACTCTTACCCAAGATATGTATTCAATACCTCACACTGCACTGAATCATAATGCTTCATAATTGTTGCTGTATAATCTAGGTGAGGCACTACTCCAAGCTTAGTGGAAAGGAAGTCTCAATGAATTCTTTTTACCCAGAAAATGTGGCCTTTTGTATAGCCTGTGGACCTCTGAATCTTGAGTGTGGCAAAGACAACATTAGCAATCTCTTCCTCTCAATTTGTTATACTGGGGTACTGACCCACCTTTAGCATAAAGGTGGATAACGTTAGGATCGCTAAAACAGTTAGGACAGGAAGAAAGAGCATTTATGATACCAAAAATTGCCAAGGCAAAGAGAAGAAAAAAAAAGAATTTCTCATTTCCTTGTCCCTTTAGCTCTGAAATCAGGAAGGGCATTATCTTACTAATCCTAAAGGATAGTTCAATCAACCCAGTGATTGAGAGAAAAGAAAGAAGAGAAATTGAAGTTATCATTGTTGGTTCAGTTCTACAAGATCCAGTTGATTTTTTTCTTGGAGAAGTGTGGCTGAATTTTACTTTACTCAGAACATGAAGGAATGTTGGAAAAATGAAGGTGGAAACAGGGATGGATTATAGAAACAACCAAAAAATTTTTCTCAAAGTAGATGTTTTATCCATCCAAAAAAATCTGCACTCTAGAATGAATGTATTTCAAATTCTAATCTCAAAGCAACATTTCAATCAGGTCATCAGAAAGTTAAAGGAATAGCCTGAATCCCTCTCCTATTGACCAAAGCATTATATCTTTTTTCTGGACCCTCACTCTCCTGGTTGGTGACTACCTCTTTCAGCACTATTTCAGGAAAGTCTCAGGCATGCTTAAATTCAGTCTCTGCTCTCTAGTCACCTGACCTCCTCAACTTCTTTATCAATTGTGTCCTTCCTGATATCCTCCAATTCTAAACCATAAACTATAAACAAACAACTCTGTCCTTGCTACTAGATAGAGTGTGTCAATCTACTCCACTATGGAATCATTCATCATCCCTGTAACTTTCCAGAACAAAGTTCCCCCTCATTGGTCATTATTCCTCAGTATGTATTGTCTTCCCCATTAGAATGGAAGCACTCTGGATGCCAGTGACTGTTATTACTTTTATATTTGTATCATCAGAATTTAATATAGTACTTGGCACATTATTGTATAGTTTGTCCTGCATACTTGGAGAGGACCATGACATCAGGGAGATGGTCGTATGACTTGCAATTGACTTTGATTTGAGTGAGGGAGGGCTGTGCAAAGTCACCAGTTTCACTGTCTCCTCCAGAGCCATCTGGGTCCAGGGGCCAGGTATCAATCAGTACAACTGGATATGGCCCAGAATGCAGTGGGAGACCTTGCCCTTTTAAAGTTAATGTCTTTTTCAGGTTCTCACTTTGAGTGAGGCAATGTCCTTTCAGTGAACAGGCCTCTTTAAGACACACTAAGAACTTCATTCATTCACACATTTCATAACCTGGGACAAGAGTATGAAATCCAAAATGCAGGAGAATACTTGGGATTTGTGACTTAAAAGCAGCATGACTCCTGTGGCTCTTAACCCAGTACTTTTCAGCCCAATAGATTTACAAATGTGATTACTTAAAGGGATTGTAATGTTTGATGATTCTGAGTGCTAAAGAGTGACATGTTTTCCTGGAATTGCTTCTGACCTTATAGTTTTGTGGGTTTTTTGTTTTATTTTGTTTTGTTTTTTGTTTTTTGGTTCATTCATTCAGTCACATTCTTAGAGCTCAAAAGTACCTTAAGTATCACTTAGTCCAATCTGATTATTTTACATGTGAGGAAACTAAAGCCTCACAAAGGATTAACCCTTATCAAAGGTTACACAACAGATCATTTATGATCTGGACTAGAAATCAACCTGGTTTCTTAATTCCCAGTTAAGGATAATTTTTTTTAAACCAAACATGTCCTTAAAATAAGTTAACCCCTGATTATCAATAAAAAGTCTTAGCACCTAAGTTCAGCATTAATTTTATTATCCACAGCACCTGACATGTACTTTCAAAGTATATTTACACTTCAAGGAAGTGGCAGGGTATATTGAAATATTCGTAAGTGGTGACACATTGCTCCTCTGCATAATGAATTGATAGTGGTTTCTTTCTTTAATTGAAAGTAGTTGCCAAGTTTCTGCATGTGTTATTTTCAAATTTCTCTTTTCAAGTAGCAAGAGACTGCTTGGAATTTTCCATTTTATTCAATGATTCAGCACTTTTATTTCTGGACCAGGATCCTCATGGACTTAAATCCTGCCCCATGGGAGAAAGGCTTTTGTATTCTCTTTTTTGTTCTATGACCTCATTCTACTCTGTGGAAGAAATGGGGATTTGTCTTTATCAAGCTGCATTTATTAAACATCAGCAGCACATGATCTATATCTGGGCAATGAACCTAAGAGTCTTAGGCTTATAAGGATGTGAAACTACATTGATTGAGAAGAATTCGTAAAGTGTGTCCCAACCACAGACAACCATATGAACCAGATCAAGATGGGCTGCTCCTTAAAGTAAAAGGATTCACCTAGCTATGCCTAACTGGTTACTTAGAAGATGGAAAAGAGACAAGCACAGAGAAATGAAAGTAAGTAAAGAACATTAATCTAGCTGTTTAAAAATATGGGAATACAGATATAGATGGTTTTGACAGCACATACCAAATGGGTTCCAGAGGCAGAGTCACTCCTTCAAATCTGCTAACTAGGTTCAATCCAGTTTCTGGATGGATAAGATAGTAATGTGTTCTAGTTCTCTTAGTCTAAAACATAGTTCCAAATATTCAAGGGAAAAAAAAAGTCTTCCACTGGCTAAATGCCTTCTATTCCTGTTTTAATATATTTTTACTTAAAATATTCTCATTAACAGTAAATATAGACTTACTTGAAAATTGTTGGATTTTTAAGCAAGAACTGAAAAGAAGTAATTTTTTTTTTCAGTTAGGTCAATGAAAACAAGTTTAGGAAGCAAAATATGAATAAGACAAATGACTGAAGTGACATAGTGCTTTAAGATTTTCACAAATGAAATATGTATTGGTGCCTGTTAAGTTCTGTTCTTACGGTTAATCTTATTTTATAGACATGGGAACTTAGATTAATAGGATGAGTGATTTACGAATGGCAATGATGCTAGACAAAGTCTAGAGACAGAATTTGAACCCAGGTCTTCCAGATACCAAGTATCTCACTCATATATTATACCATGCTTCATCTTACAATGTCCATTCTGTGGAATGTTATTAGGTCACAAACCCCTAATTTATTTAGGGACAGAGAAAATATATTTGGAGCAGAAATTAACCTAAATTATGATTCTTATAGTTTAGTGCTAGGGACATTCCCAGAATAATATCATGCAGATAGACAATAAATAAATACCTGCTTAATATTAGTCAAAATAAATATGGGATCTCACTAATGTAGGTACACATGTAGTGATGCAGATTGCTACAAATCCTTTCATGTCTTCACATCAAGTGTGATTCTTGTCTGAATCCTTCCACAAATTCTCTCCATCTACTTACAACATTTTCTAGATCTCTTGACATCCAGTAACTACCAATGATGCACCCAGGATATGCACTAATTAATCTTTGTGTTGAGGTTTAGGGGCTTGGGGTGCTGGGACCTTGAAATTATGACACATTGGTCCTGCCGGAATGAATTTGACCCAAGCCTTCTTTCAGCCAAAGACAAGGTTTATTACAATGTCTCCATATTGGGCAGACTCTTAAGGAATCTAAGCATTTGTAGTGCTAGTGCAAGTGTGTCAGATTTTAAGAATCTGAGTGCCTTAGTGGAGACAAGATGGACCTTATATACAGAAAGACTCTGGGAGGAATCTAGGAGTGGCCAAGTAGTTTGAGGTGACTGGAGGAGGGGTCTAAGGAGGATCTGGATGGGGGTGGCCAGTAAGCTGGGGGTGAACAGAATGCCAGGGACCTGGACCAAGTAGCCAAGGGAGAATAGAGCCTACCTAGGATTAAGGGTGGGAAGTGGCCAGGAGCCATAGGAATATAACAGAACAGAATTGGTAGATTCAGCATAGCCACAGTGAAAGGCTAATTAATTGATAGGATTTAGTCTCAGATGAAATCAAGAGATTTGGCCAAGTAGAAAAGTCAGGGGTTTTTCCTTTCTGGGGTCCAGATCCCACCCCCATCATTTACATCCTTAAAAAAAATCAGCAATATTTATTGAGCATCTACTGTATGAAAATCACTGTGAATGAGGAACTTTAAGCACTTTAACTGGCTATCCCTAAAACCTGGAATACTTTCCTTCCCTGTCTCCTGACTTCTGATTTCCCTCATTTCCTTTGGATCACAACCAAAATTCCACCTTCTACAGGAAGGTTTTCCCAATCCCTCTTAACTCTAATACCTCTCCTTCTTGGGTTACTTCCTATTTACCCTGTATAGTCCTTGTTTATGCATAGTTGTTTGCATTATGTCTTTCTCTTTACTGTAAGATCCTTGAGAGCGGAGAACCTTTCCCACCCCCCACCAATCACCACCTTTCTTTGTTACATCAGTGCTTAGCACAGGACCTAGAAAACAATATAGATGCTTAATCAATGTTTATTGACTGACCCTGATAATACATCATTGGAGTAAAGTCATAGAACATTAAAGTTCAAAGCTACCTTAGACTAATCCTCTCATTCAATAGATGAGAAAAATAAGGTCCAGAAATGCCGCAATTTGCCAAGAATTAAGAGAAGTGGAGATAAAACTTATGTATTCTTTCTCCTAATGCAATGCTCTTTCAACTAAATAAAACCTGACCTGAGAATCGTTTCAGTCTTCCCTAGGCAGCACAAAATGGAAGTCTTGTAATTAGATATTTAACATGAGCTGTGGGAATGACTAAGCTGAAGTAACCCAGGAACAAATTCCATTTACTATTATGTCCTCTTTGTACAGGCATGATTCTTCACTGACCTGTGAAAGTGAGGAAAGGCAGGATGTTTAGGTCTATATTTTCCATATAATTACCCAATCTTTTGCTTAATTTGGAAGCACTAGCACAGCTACTCAATCCATAAACAAGTTAATTTTTCACAGCTCCTGTAATTTGATTTCAATATAACTAGAGAATTACAGAATTTGAGAGCTAGAAGAAAACTTAGAGAAAGCTAAACTAGTTCCTTTATTTTCCAGTTGAGAAAACTGAGGCAGGAAAGACAGTATGTCTTCTCCAAGGATTCACAATTCATTTTTCAGAAAGCTGAAACCAGAGCCCAAATTCAGACACTCCCAGGTCGGTACACTTTTCAGTACATTACCTTTAAAATAGTTGTAATAATGTCAACAGATTAAAAAAAATCTTTTTACCTCTCTTTGTCTGTTTTTACACACATACACATACATATATAAGATGTGCATATATATACACATACACATATTTGCCTCATATATGTGTATATGTATATATGTATATATTATATGTATGTACATTTGTGTATATTATATATATATATATATATATATATATATATATATTTACAGCTTACAATGAATTATTTCCAAATGAGAATATTGAAATCACTTTCCTCTTCTCCCTCCTCCAACTATAGAAAGTATATAATTTTTACAAAGGAAATTATTTACAATAACTAAGGCTTTGTTTTCTACAGTATTGCATTAAAAGCATAGTATCAATTGAATGTGAAATTGATTTCTTATCCTAAAATAATTTACCTCCCTAACATTACAAATATGTCCATCTATTCATAAGTGTCAGCTGAGGGCCAGGTCATTGATCAGTCATTTAACACCCAAGTATTGGATCAAAGGAAGTTAGTAAATGCTAATCAATCATTCTCTCTAAGATCACTTGTGGTGCTTAGGGAGAAGACATACAATAGCAATAGAGGTAGTCGGCAGGTAAATGCTCTTAAGTCCCAATTGTTCTACAGCTAACAAAGGGGCCATAAGAATATACACGAGGGTGTCACCTCCTTGACTCTTCCCTGCAGGTGATCTTGGAAAAGATGTTTTTAAAACTGGTTTAAAATTTGAAAAAAAAAAGAACAGTTTTTGCTATTCAAAAAAGAGGCCTGCTTTGTCGGTTGTCAATGCGTAAGATTTTTTTCTTCTTCAAGGGTTCTAGGGACCAAAGAATGTTTATACAAACAAAATAGATAAATATATAACGTAATATTTTAGATTGACTAGCAATATTTACTGTTAAACTTTATGTGTCACTTGGTATTTTAATTTAATTTCAATAAACATGTGTCAAACACCAGTTGCAGGTGGAATATTGTGTTATTCCTTGAGAGAGTTAAGAAGATTAGGGAGACATAGATTCTATATTTCATAAATACATATTATTGTGAGGGTCAGGGGATTAGGTGCATAAGTCACAAATACAGATAGACCATAATGAATAATTGCATGCTAATTTGAAATAATTTATTTTTCAATGGTCATACATAATGACAGTATTTTGAAGTACTTGACAAAGTGATCACATCAGGATTTAGCAATAAGACCACTGGATGTAGTGCCTAGGGAGCCACTGTGAGACTCTCCAAATTGTAATGTTTTCGATCTGCCAAATTCCATTTCCTAGTGAGTATTTCTCGCTCAGTTTTGTGAACATTTATGGGGATCATCTTTGAAGATACCACCTTTGATTTTCATCACTTGTATTAATTTTAAATAAGTCACAGGTCTAGGTAAGAAGGGACCTAGAATAAGAAGAGGCTTTAGTAATCACCTGGCTTAAACCTCTCATTTTACAGAGATAAGTTAAGTAACTTGAACCAAGTCCCACAGATATGAATAGCATAATTCGGATTCAAAACATATGTCCTGATGACAGATTAAGTGTTCTTTCCATTGTGCTGTGTTTACTGCCTCTCTTAAGCACATAAAGTAAATGGGTAAGTAGCTTTTATTTTTATTGTTAAGGCAAGGTGATTTTATTCCATTCATTACTTTCTCATGATAATGTCACATAGGTTAACAAAAGTAATACGATGAAAAAAGTTTTGAGTATCTAGGAAGAAAGAGGCTAGAGACTGCCCTGTAACCTCTAAGCATTTCACTAAAGGGATATGGAAACTTGCTCAGAAATATTGTAACTTAAAGGAATAGCTACAATCTTCTAAGGAAAGAATTTAACTCAATATAGCAATGTTACTTTGCCTTATAGGAATGTTAAATTTGAATATTAGTCTTTATGTATGTGTATGTATATATATATATATATACACACACACACACGTATACACACACATACATACATATATATGCACACACATATATACACATATACACACATATATAAACATATATATGTGTGTGTGTGAAAAACATTTTTATGAAGGATAGCATTGAGCTCTTTTATCAGAAAACCAAACTTTCTTTGCTTGTATCTAATCAGAATGGAAATATGCATACATCTGTGGTTTATGGTTGTCTTCTTTCCATTCTAAAGCCATACATATAAATTAGAATTGTCTTGTAAATTGTTTCACTTGGCTGTGTAGAGAGTCTAAGTTTAGCTCTATGAATGGGAATGTGCTGTGATGGAAAAAGCCTGGGAACTGAAGTCAGAAAGCAGGAGTCCAAGTCCTTCCACTTGCTAGCTGTATAACGTTGCACCAAGTCACCTTCTTGGAGTTCCAGTTTCATCTCTAAAATACAAAGAATATTACCTGACAGAATGGGGGAGAGAATACTAATAGCTAAAGGATTCTTTTTTAAAAAGACCAATAATTTCACTGTTTTGGAGGAATGCCTCCTACCAATGTAAATCTTCAATTGCTGTATAATTTGTAATTTTAGCATGCTCTCTGGGGAAAAATAACTTGAAATGCAATCTTTCAACCAACAATCATACAGCCAGTATTAAGGAAATGAGCAAAGGACTTCCTGATTTGGACAGGTCCTAGATCTGGATTCAGGAAGATACAAGCTCCAATCTGTCTTCAGACACATTGTAATTGTTTGAACCTAGGCAAGTCTACCTTCCAGGGATGATGCAAGAATCAAATGAGTTAGTATTTGCAAATCACCCAGCTAAGTCCCTGGCACTTTGGAGGAGCTTAATAAATACTTGTTCCTTCCTTCCTACAGATTATGGAAAACCCCAGTTCAAAATATATTAAGTACCCACAATAAACAAGATATAAATAGTGTGGAGAATACAAATAAGTGGAAAATATAATTCTGAGTCTCTTAAGAGAAATATAATCTGAAAAGGAAAGTAAAATGGTTGCATCCATAATGATTACTGAAGTTTATTAAATGGATAATCAGGGTTTGTTTATTTTTCAATTGGATCTGCATTTACCTTTCCTTTCTTTCTTAATCCTCTGACAGATAGCATGAAGAAGAGAAAAGAAGAGCCCAGGGCTCACTCAGGAGAGATCAAGTTCCAGCCCTTACATCTGGCAGTTTTGTGACCAACCGCAAGTCACTTAAAAACTAAATTTCACTAGTTAGGATGACTCTTCAACCATTCAAAATGCACGATTTATTTTTTTTAAATGAGAAATCTCCACTCAACACAAAGACAGAAAACAGATTTTCTTAATTTAGAAATGCTCACAGAGATATATTCATTGTAAGTATTATATACTTTTATTGAGTAGAACATTGATCTCAGCAAATTTATTTCAGATCTGCAAGAGGGCAAGTGTAGATTCATATAGATAGAAGAGTTAGTATACTAGAGAGGTGATGTCCCGAAACTGTAATTTCCCAACCAGGTGTACATGAAATTAGGAAAAAATTGATGATTTTTAAAAGAAAATAGTTGTAGTATGACTTATTGAGGTAAATAAGTTTTGGATACAGGAAGAATTTTATCGAAGAACAAATACATCTGCAACATATTTAGGTAATAGTATAGCAGGATCTGTGGGTTACTTTCTAAAATTTTGCTTGTCTTTAAATGTATATGTTTTTATTTACATGACTGTCTCAAATCCAAGAGAGCAATTTGGGAGGGAAATGAAGTTGCTTATATGATTCAAATGCAGAAAAAGACAGTGAACTATACATTTGAACATATTGGCAGCTTAATTAAGAAATCTGGCAGTGGAGATTTTTTAAAAACGTAGTGAATTTTCATTTGATGATGACATCATTCATGACATAAATGGGGGGGATGGACAGATGTATTTCAGAAAATACAACTACATTTCAGTAAAGAATGAATACCTTGTTTTGTTCAGATTGGTAGGGAATATCCAGTGTGGAAACTCTCTTCCAGTGCAGATCATTAGCTGTTATGAAACTTATTTTCCTAAAGACAAAAGGCTTGTAAAAGCACAGAGATTTAAATTAACTTATTCACAGTCACACAAGTACGTGTCAAGAATAGGACCTGAAACTGCATCTTTTCAACTCTGAGGGGTCTTCCTCTCTACTGCACAAAATATAAATGAATATCTGTTATAAAACCCAATTACACTTCCTACTTTGTAATATAATACCTTATAATACAACTATTGTGGGGAAGGGGGAGGAACAGGGTGACAATTGTAATAATGTCCTCAGAGCCAAAAACATCCATCTGACATGAAATTCAGTGGGTTTAAATCATAGTTGAACAGAACAGGCAATTTACCAGGCTGTCAAGGTCTTGTTTCTTACCCTTGTCCTTTTCCCTCTATGATCACCCCCCCCCCCATTACTTCCTCTCCTCTCCTCTTCCCACTGATCTAGCTATGCTCCTCCCTGTACTTGCAGATTCCTTTAAACCAAGGGGAACTGAAAATTACAAACTACTCCTGCCTAGGGGCAGAAGAAGCAAGTTATTCCATTTAGGAGTTTTCGTTTTTAATGAATTCCTGAGCTCAAGTAACACAGATGAATTGATAAATGGCTTGATCTAACATAAAGGGCTTCTCTGCTGAGAAACTCTCTTGCCTTCAAGATTGACCCCTCTTGACTGAGCCTCTTTTGTCTTCAACATGAATTAATAATCAATTTAATTTGTTAGCTCTGAAATGATTAGTTCAATTCAACTCAAAAAGCATTTATTAACTGCTTCTCCTTCGAATGTTCTTTCAATATTTTCTAATTCCATCAGGGAGAAAGCCTCAATTAGCTACACATATGTCCTTAAAACCTCTTTGACAACTTGCATTGCCAGATTGTTTTCAAGCTGTCAATTGCACTTTTAGTAGAGTAACCATACCATCTAGGCTCAGACACACATCCTGGAAGCTGCATCTATGGTAGCATCACCACCCAATGTACTGAGGTGGAATTGGATGAAAAGGAGGCAAGTAGACCAGGTTGGATATGCAGAAGTATGAAGTTCTTGATCACAAATGTATTCCTACAGAGGGTTTCTTGTCATATTCTGCCATATGTACTTCAAAGTTAATCTTTGGTACATTTCCTCCTCAAAATGGCTGTTTAGGTGAATTGTTACCTGAACTATCCTTTCTCTCCCTCCAACCCCATTTCTGGGCTGAGGACACTAAAAGCAAATTCTTGGAATCTTGAGGCCTCTCATCCAAAGGGATCCAAATGGTCTATTCTTTCTCTTTCTTCCCTGAAGAGTAGTATGCAAGAGTCACATACTGAAATTAGTTTGTCAACTACTTATTTCATTGTTATATTATGTATCATTAAATGGATTGAAGCTATGTTTATAATGAGCTTTGAAAATAGCTGTTTATAACTCTGAATCCTGCCTTATAGTACTTACAAGGCTTATGATTTTGAAAAAAAAGTTACTTGACCTAAGTTCCCTCATCTGTAAACAAAAGGTTGTAAAACTACATGACTTAAAAGGTCCTTTCTACCTTTAAATTTATGATCCTATCTTTTTTCTTCATACTTCATTTTGTTACTTATAAAATAGTTTTTTCTGGGGTTAGAGTAGCATCACTAAAATCCTCAACAATAAACAGTCTACAAAGATTGTCTTTCAATGTATGTTGACAATTCTGAAATGCTATTATTCAGGAAATCTATAGATTGTGTGCATGTGTGTGTGTGTGTATATATATATATACATACATATAATATATATACATATATATATGTATATATATGTATAAAGAGAGTATAAGATGAGATAACAACATATGATCTACAAAGTACATATTTTGGGAGGCTTTAGAAAGGAGCTGGGAGATGTGCTCTGGGCAGCAATAGATGAATAGAGGAATATGGTATAGAAATCACAATCTGAAATTATGACTTGAGTGAAGATGTCACAGTTGAGGCTTGAGTACTATAAAATTGTTATGCTATTCATCTCTCATTCTGTCCTTCCAGTGCAATTGAAGTGATCTTTTGCTGACCTTGATTTCTGCCTAAAGAATCTGTCTGAAGCAGCCTGGAAATGCCACTATGTATAGATTTAGGAACAGTAGCAATGGAATTTTTTTCTCATATGCCACATAACTGTCCCTTGTATCAATTTTGCAAGGCAATATAGCAGGCATTTCAACTTGGATGTGTCTTCAAGGATTCTGCCTCCTTTTGAGGAACAATTTTGCTCAGTTCTATTGATTCAGCTAGTCTCTGGGGAAGGAGAGAAAGGGATGCTACATAAAAGCACCACTAGCAAAAGAAATAACTTCTAAAAGAAAAATTGTATAAGATTAGATTTACCACTTTGGCTAAATTGACTAGCCAATTTCTTTGACTGACTTATTTCACTTAATCTGTCTGAGTGACTTAGCTTATTATTTTGACATCTCTGTGCAAAAGTTCTATTTGTATTTTTACAGCTTTCCCCCATACTTGGTATCACAGAATGAATGTCTTATTTTTAAAAGTTCCTGTGTTGTGCCTTCACAAGATTTCTTTTTTCATACCGAATGAAGGACCCAAGCTTGGTACTCCTGATTGAAAGAGACACCTCTGCTAATAGTTGGGTTAGATACAGGAAAATAGCACAGCTAAAGGGTTATATATATGTGTATCCATCTGTATGTGTATATATATATATATGTATATATATATATATATATATGTATATATACATATATAAATGTATACATGCATGTATGTATATGTGTATTCATACATACACATCACACAACTCTTTTGTTTTCACATGCCTTAATAGAATTCCCTTTAGGTGTATGGATGTGCAGCAACATTTTCTATAAATGGAAAAAAAAATACCCCACCCTACATTTTCTGTTCATAAGCCATACTGAAGTGAAAATTAATTTAGCTGTTACTTAGCAGTATGGTAAGCACTGTCTTAAACAGATAAGTGTCAGTTAAAACCAATTTGGACCCGTAACAAAATAATTGAACTGAGCAGACAATTGGATGTTCTTAATATCCCATATCAAGAACCAAATAGAGCTGCCTAACATACTTCCCTTGTTCACTGAGAGATAACATAAAACAATGTTCATTTTTTTTTAGGATCACACATCCTTGTCAGTAAAACAATTTAAGACTGTTGACCGCAATATGCATATGTTTACTCATTTATGTATCATAAATATCCAATACTATACTATAAAATTTAAAACAAAAGAAAAATTTTAAAAGGATGAGGCTGAGATGATGAGTTCATCTTTTATAATTCACTCTGCCCCAACCAAAATTAAAAGGGAGAAATTGGGATTATTTCCTACCTGTCACTTCACTGAAGCATCTGAGAGAGTTGTAGGTTGAGTAAATTTTTTGTAATGCTACTTGTGCAGTTGTTGCTATGGCTTAGCCATAGGTTATAATTGTCTTGTGTCTCTGTGCCCTGATCGGAAGAGGAAGTTTGAGAGCCAGCATAGGGAAAGGGCAGAGTTGGGGAAAATTTTTGTCATCTTAGAAAAAAAATTTTCTGTAATTGGCTATCATGGGGAAGGTGTGGTGCAACCCATCTCTTTAAATTTTGATTAGTCGATCACGTATCCTTTGAGCTCAGATCATTGTCTCCACTTGGCCTACTTCACTGAGGAGGGAAGCTGCCACACTATGTGCTGGTGAAAGTTGTTGGAAGTTGGAGAAAGTGCACCTGTGATGGTTTTCAAAACATTGTGTCTCATAAATGTGAAAACAAATGTAAAATATTACATACTATTTAGATAGATTGTGCATCTCCTAAAATTGTTTTCTAACATGTGACTGGAAGATTGAAAAAATCTGCCATAATTATAAAGAAAGAAGATACAATCTTGATTGGGTGCAAGATAATGAGGAATAATGAGGCAACTCCTATTCACTCCCACAAACCTTGTCTCTAAAACATAAAAAAAAAATTGGAAATAGAAAGGGGCAGAGAATAATAATCATGTTTGGGTTATGTTTATGTATAAGCAAAACAGTGGAAAAATTCCTTTCTAGCCATACATTTCCTAAATGCTAAATTTTATGCCACTTCTCATGAATTAGCCACATTAGGATTAATTAGCATTGTGGCCAATATGCTGGTCAATTTACAGCAGTGATAAGTCTGTTCATTACTGTTTAACTCACATACAATGTTACTTTTTGAAAGGTGATGGTTGCCCATGACTTATAATGATATAGTATCTCCAGACATATATTGGTGCTAAGAAGAGGCATTTTTCTTTGTTTGGTTTAAGAAGCAAGCTGGGATAGATAAAAGTGTAGTATGATTTTCCAAATATAACCCAG